GCCAGCCATTGGGACTGCAGCCCCACATGCAACCACTGCACCACCGGGTTCCTACTTTTGAAAAACAAATCGGCCCCTGGAAACCAAGTAGAGTCGAGTCCCTCTGTGGCACACAGAGTCCCTCTGTGCCATGACTTGGAGTTGGGTCCATGGCTGCTATTTAATTGGGGGTGGGGGTAGGGGTTAAATGAAGAAAGTTGGTACTGGAATTAGTCCTAAAAAGCAGATATTTAGGGGGAAATTTGCTGAAATTGGAACACTTGCTAGATAGTTGGGAATAATAAAGCTTTGGCTGGTCATATTCTGCATATTGGAGGACTGAGAGGAGGCACAGAGATAAAGACTACACTGGCCCGAGCGTGTCTGCAGTGTGGCCACGGTGACAATATAAGGACTATAGAGTTGACTGCCTTTAACTGCCATCGAAACCTTAAAGACAGAGAAGGAGGGGTTTGAGCTGTCAATGCAAACCAGACTTGTAAAGTAGGATTGCTCCCTGACAGAGGACTGACTGTGCCGAAAGTTAGGCTCAGGATTTAATAATAAGATAGAATGCGTAGCCCCAGAACATCCATTATGTGGAAATTGGGGCCCTAATAGGGAGAAAGGTGACCCTGGTACGAAGGTGAATCAGCGGGATCCTCTGAGAAGGACAGGATGTCATTAAAAGAGCCAAAGAGCCGTTGCGGGTGGGGCTTGTGAAAGATACATGGATGGGGACACGAAGCAGAAGAGGGTGGAGACAGACTGGTAACACATTTCTGACAATGACACATAGGACAAGGGACTAGAAGCTGTGAACTCATCAACTACAAAAAGATACAGTCCAATTAAAACATCAACAGACATGTGATCAAAGAAGACATTCTGGCAGTTAACAAACGAGGAAGAAATTTGCTCATGATCAGTAGCCATTTGAGAGATGCAAGTGGGGAAAACATCGCCTTGATCCAGGATTAATAGCAAAGTTAAAAAATAAAGAGAAAAGAAAAATGCTGGAAAGGATGCAGAGTGATTGTACAACCACTGGGGACAGTAGAATGTTGGTTCCTCAAGCAACTGAGGATAGAAATAGCATATCACCCAGAACTTCTTCAGCTGTGGTTAGCAGCCATTGAGTTGGTGCCAATTTATATGCACAAAAGAAAGAAACACCAACCTGTCCATTCTCACAATTGTTCCTCTGCCTGAGGCCACTGTTGCAGCCACTGTGCCAATCTGTCTCCCGGAGACTGTCCTCCTTTTTACTGCCCTCCAGTTTACCAAGCAGGATGTCCTTCTCCAGGGACTGGTCCCCCCCGAGAATACGCCCAAAGCATGTGCGGTAAAAAGCAATAGGCAACCATGGTAAACGGAGAAAAGATGAAAGTTGTCACAGATTTCCTCTTGTTGGATCCATATTCAACGCTCATGGAAGCAGCAGTCAAGAGATCAAACGATACACCGAATTAGGTAAACTTGCTGCAGAAGACTTTAAAATGTGAGAGTGGTAATACCAGGAGGGTGGAGGGAAGGTGGGGTAGAAAGGGGGAACTGATTACAAGGATCTACATATAACCCCTCCCTGGGGGACAGACAACAGAAAGGTGGGTGAAGGGAGACATCGGACAGTGTAAGACATGACGAAATAACAACGATTTATAAGTTATCAAGGGTTCATGAGGGAGGGAGGGTGGAGAGGGAGGGAAGGAAAGATACAGATCTGATAGCTAGCACTCAAGTAGAAAGCAAATGTTTTGAGAATGATGATGGCAACAAATGTACAAATGTGCTTGACACAATGGATGGATGGATGGATTGTGATAAGAG